TGGTTGTTGTTTTATATTTGTATCAACATAGTTGGTACATTGCAGGAAACTGTACTGCAGAGCTGTCATGTTTTCATCACCTTAGCATTGTCTATGGTGTCTTATGCTGCTCTCCTGTGGGAAATCATTATTGTTATTGTTGGAAATGCCATAACCAAAGACCAAGACCAAAAGGGGTCAGCTTGGAATATCTACCAGTTGTTCCTGGTTTTCATCAGCCAGATCTTTGTAGGTTTTATTTATTGACATCACAAAAAAAGTGTATAAATATATCTAAATGGGTTGATACATGCAGCAAACTGGCAAATACACATAAATAAAGAGATAAAGGGACTGCCAATCCAAAAATTGCACACATGCAGGAATCAAACCAGAAGAGTGATAGTCTAATAGTGTTAAAATAGTTGACAAGTCAGATGCCATCTCCTGTGTTTGGGTCCATGAAAGAAAGTCACACAGTACGAGTCTTATCAGGGTTATCTTTGCTATTTGAGAGAGCATATGACTCTCATTGACTAAGAATATTCTAAAATGCCAATTCATCTGTTCCCCATCCAAGCTTTATTCAAATATAATGCTATTCTTTAGGCATAATATATTAATTTTTAGCTGTTATTTTTGTGTGATTCAATTCTGTTGCCTGTGCATTTTCGGAACATAATATTTGAATAATTCAATAGCATCTGCCAGCTTCTTAAAAATTAGATATTTTGAAAATGTAATAACCAGACATATGAATAAACAGTTTTGTTCATCTGGTGGGGTGAAAACACAATACTTTGTATTTATATTCCATTATTGTAAAAAAAGGTTCTTTTTAGGATGTCTGCATATGTATACCTTATCAATTAAGCAAAACCTAATTTTAATTGATAGTGTTGTGTTATTACTATAAAAAAGAGCAAAACAAAATTAAACAATTACAATCACTATTTGTTACATGAATTATGTAGAATCTGTACTACATTTTGAATAACAATTGTATACAATTAATTAAGAATAGTGGAGATTTGTGTTTGTTTTTACTGGAACATTGTGTCACAGGTTACTGTGGATTTCAATTGCAGTGTACTATTATTTGTTATTCATATTAGATATACAATTATCTTTTACTTGAGGCATGTAATATCTGCCAGTGCAAAAACGTTAACTAACCTAGTTATTTTAAACATTATAAATATTAAAAACAAATGTCATTGAACCTATGACAAGTACACTTGTACTATCCTTAAATATAAACAAATTAAGTTTTATACATAAATTGTTCTGTAAAGATGAGTTGCTATTTATGTGTATGCCAAATTCAGGTTAGATTTGTTGTTTATGAATATATTTGTTAACCAAAAAAATCACTAGGCACATAATTCCAGTGTATACTCAACAAATTTGATGAAAATATAGAACTTTAGAAATGATAGCAAATATGCTCCACTACACAAACTCATGTTTTAATTGGCAGTTGTAAAAACGATCGAGAAATGGTTCCTTAATTGTAGAAGTGTGGAGCTACGTCACAAAACATGCCTCATGGGGGGGGGTGTGCCTTGGACGCCGAACGGAATGGCGGCATAACCGGAGAGCTCATCTCCACCTGGCCCATATATAGCGCCTAATCCACAGCTCTAGAAGCTAAATGGGCTGCAACCAACGCCCGGAGGCTCCACAGAAACCGAGGGGCACACAGCAAGGTCCGATTGATGGATTTCTGCAGCCGCAGTGCACAGATCTCACTTTACAACGACCTGTCCCCCATCACCTTAGAGGCACGCCGGGCACTCAGACCAGTAACGGCGGCCCTACGAGAACGCAACATCACCTATAAATGGGGGTTCCAATTTGCCTTACTAGCCCGCCACCAAAATGGATGGGTACCGCTGAGATGGCCTGAAAAAGTTCCCCGCTTTATGGAAGAATTGGGCCTCACGCCTATGCCGGTCGCGAACTGGATTCTGGGGCCCGCACGACCACCGAGACCTCAGAGGACAGCTAGGAGACAAGGAGCCTGATCACCACCAGGGCACGCTTCCCAGAGGTGCAAACACCCAGAGGCCCCGGAGGAATGAGTGAGTAACCATAACCACCAGCGGCCTCACCAAGCCATTCACACACCCGGGTACACTGACTGATGCCACTCACCACTTGCCCCGCGGACCACCCAGGATCCCCTCAAGACTAGCACACCTGTCAGGTGGCCACTCTACACCAATACCTTTACAAAGGTCTTAAACTAATAATGGAACCTACTGGGCATGGGGACCCTTTCACTCTTAACTACCTGACATCTCTAGGTCAGAAGTTTCATGGAGTGACGTTACCCCCCCTCCCGGATGGGGAGGAGGATTGCGGGTGGAGGAATTCACTTGGGCGGGCCCCAACACAAGGCAGCCCATCATAACGCACGAACAGGGTCCCCCTCTCTTAACACAGCTAAGAAAGGGCTCCGGGACATGGACAAAAAGAGGGACGCCTGTTCACGAACTCCAGCTCTGGACGTCACGGGGACTTGGACCACCATGGGAGGGGTAGACAGAAGGTTTCCATCAGGTTCCCCTCGCAGGGCTATTTAAATTGTTGATGGGAATTGACCCCCGTCAACCCACCCAGAGAGATCTTAGAATGCGTTATATCCCAAGTATACTGTTGCTAATTGTTAGCTAAATTGCGATAATATCTATAACCACATACTAACTAATCTTAGAATGCGAAATGATTTAGGCACGAGGGAAGGGAACATCAAGGAGGGGAGGGTGGATGGGGGAGATCATGCCCCGCACCTGGGGGACATGGCGGGAGAGGGATATAAATAGTGACAGAGGGCGACGGAGGCGGCCCATGACATTTCATGTGAACACTACCCTCGAAAACAAAACATAATGATACAATGAGTGGATGACCCAGATTGATGGGGGATGTAAGAATGTCTAGGGCTGAGATGGGCCCCAGATTACACCATTTAAAGGCATCAATGCACCAAGAAAATGGAAGGGTATGTGGGGAGGGGCAACTGTGTGGGGAACCGTGGGCACTTTTGACACCCACAGGGCTGTGTACTGAACATCAGAGAGTCCCTTCCCCCCATGGAGGGCAGATACACCAATGTACAAAAGTTGACGGCTCCACCCAGACACATGACAGCACATCCAAATAGGGGGATGCATTCAGGTAGGGATGCTAGGACACGCACAATTTCACGAGCCCCATATGAACTGAGACCCCGAGACCAGGACATAAAAACAATTACCTCAAGGATGATGAGAGTGGACAGGGGGAGAGCAAGGGGCAGCACGGTAGTTGTGGACCCACAAACACAAGGGGAATTACTGTTAAATATAGTAGTTAGTGGGAGGGGTGAGCTGGGGTGAGAGAGGGCTAGCCAGAGATAAGAGACTTTCTGACATGCCCTAGGAGTGGGGAGGACAAGGGGGGACCCGGGGGGGAAAGTTGGCTCTTAATGTTGTTCCTACTCTTTTGTAATGTTTTGATATTTATATGTACATGTCAATAGGATGCAAGAAGCTGTGATTTAAACTAAGCATAGAAAAGGTCCGGTGGAGCAGACTGGACCGAACCAAACCTCTCCTATTGCCTTATCTTTGGACGTGGCCGGAGCTGCGTCTCCTAACCTACGCTCGTACAAAAAATTATTTGCTGCTGGTTCGTGGGTGCGATCGCTCCCTGGACGGGTTACCGGGACGACGCCCTACCGTGCCCTGTAGCTGCACGAGTTCCCTCTAAACAAGAGGGCACAGACACGAGACCTAAGTACCACTGAGAGGGATTATCTCCCTCCTACATGCACTACCCACGCTAACCCACGCAAACTACGCACACCACACCAATTGCACACAGCAGCACATCACTCCCGAACACCTCCACCTACTTACTTATCCCCCCCCCCGAAACTCCTCCACCTCCTCCCCTTTCTCCCCCCCTATCCCCCCTCAGTCCGTGCTTAGGACGTGGGGCCCGGGGGCGCTCGCTGCGGAGACAGAGACCGGCTGATGCCTGAATCCGCACACCTGAAATACGAGAGCAGAACACTAACGAAGGGGGGTGGCATATCGCAACATGCCACTATCTATCTTAACCCTCAACTGCAGAGGCCTGAATGCCCCGGAACGCAGAACACATCTGCTAAGGAAGTGAAGAAAAAACACATAGCGGTCGCTATGCTTCAACAAACGCATTTCAGGGAGGGAGCAGCCCCTCAACTGCGCAATAAGTCGAACCCGAACAATTACATCTGCAACTACCCCACAGCCCGCAAATCCAGAGTGGCCATAGTAATCGCAGCAGAACCTGAATTCAAAGAATTAGACCAAATCCAGGACACGCAAGGGCGCTTCCTATTCATTAAAGGCGTCATAGCGGACAAAATTTACACATTCGCAACTATATACGTCACCAATAGACGCCAAGCCACATTTCTGAGAGGAGCACTGGCCAACCTACGGGACTTTACAGAAGGTGTGCTAATAGTAGGAGGGGACTTCCATGCCCCCCTAGACTCACCGTTGGACTCATCGTCGGGACACAGCTGTATACCCCAACGGTGCATCCGATCCATCCGGAACCTACTGAACTGCTTGGATCTGGTGGATTGTTGGAGGGCCCTCAACCCCTCTAGCAAAGATTTTACACACTACTCAGTTCTTCACGATCGTTACGCACGACTTGACTACCTCTTCATCAAGCAAGAAGGCCTCCACCACCTATTACAAGCAACCATTGAACCGGCGACATGGTCGGACCACGGCCCGGTCAGAAAAGATCTGGAATCACCCTTATTTCGACCTTCCCCCTGGACTTGGAGACTAAATGAAGCGCTGCTCCAAGATCCAGAAACACAGGAACAAGTCGGGCAAGGCCTGGACCTCTACTTCAAGGAAAATGACCGGGAGGGCACGTCGCTGATTACACTGTGGGAAGCGCATAAGAGTGTAATTTGAGGAACGCTTATCCGAATAGCATCTCAGAAGAAGAAAGCAGCCACTCGGGAAATGGCGGAACTTTATAAAGCCATATCAACACTAGAATTGCAACACAAATGGACCCTCCTCAACGCAATATACGGAGAGCTCATGGAGGCCAGGAGGGCCCTGAGAGATCTCATAGTGAAAAAACATCTTCACTCTCTACAAAGCTCGAAAGGCTTCTCCTACGCCCATGCTAATAAGGGGGGTAAATACCTGGCTAGGCTCCTGAAGGGCAATGTACCTCGAACACAAATCCGCAAACTACAGCTCGCATCGGGCAAGATCTCCCCCTTCCCTCAGGAGATAGCAGAGGAGTTTAAAACCTTCTACCAAAGCCTTTACAATCTCTAAACACCTGGAGGAGACAATAGGAGGAAACACACCCAAACCCTGATGACCAATTACTTACATACCAACATAACAGCTGTGATTGACCAGGACTCAGCTGAGGCTCTGGACTCGCCCATTACCACGGATGAACTAGCCGCAGCCCTAAAAAGCGCCAAAGCCGACAAAGCGCCAGTACCAGATGGCTTCTCCACCGGTTATTATAAGAAATTCTCAGAGAAGCTTCTACCATGGCTCACGAAAGCTCTTAATGCAGTGGCGACAGGGGAGAATTTCGGGACGGAATCCCTGTCCGCAACGATAACCGTCTTACTAAAACCGGGTAAGGACCCAATGAGCTGCGGTAGTTACCGACCAATATCCCTCTTAAATATCAATGCCAAACTGTTTACGAAGGTACTCGCGACTAGATTAAAACCCCACCTCCCAAATCTCATACACGCAGACTAGACGACTTCATCCCCGGACGAGAGGCACGGGATAGCACCCTACGGCTTTTTTCCATCCAACACCAGGCAAGGAAGATGGGGGAGCGCCTTCGACTGCTATCCACGGACGCGGAGAAGGCGTTCAACCGGGTCAATTGGCAGTATATGATGGCCACGTTAAAGAAGATGGGACTGGGACAAACACTCCTAACATGGATATCCGCCATATACAGCAAACCAAGAGCCTCCGTGTGGGTCAACAGAGCCCGAACTGCTGACTTTACAATTAGCAATGGAACCAAACAAGGGTGCCCCCTCTCCCCTCTATTATTGCTCTGTCCCTGGAACCACTCCTGCAAGCGATTCGCCTGAACCCGAACATACAGGGACATGAAGGACGTGGAGCAACCCATAATGTCGTGGCATACGCCGATGATTTGCTTTTCTTTATCAAGCAACCCCGAATAACCTTACCAAATGTAACGGACCGTTTTGCACACAAGGGGTAAAAACCGTTTAGGCGATCGGCCCCCTTTCCAGAGATGCAGGCACAGCTACTGCAGAACACCAAACTCCCCAACTGGATACAAAATAGCACTCCAACTCCCGAACTGGAACCTCCCAAATAGCTGCTAGCAGGCGAACAGGAAAAGCAGACAATCAGCTTACACTCCTGGCAATCAGTCTCTAACAGCATACAGTGAATCCCCCCAAGAACGAGACAAGGCTCCGTGTTGAGGGTCAAGCAGTGGTCTGTTTAATGAGGGCTACCTGCCCAGCTTTTATGCAGGTCTCCCACCTGGTGGACACTCCCCTAGGGGACCAAATGGGAGACTGTGACAAGGGACAGACAAGTATACAAAAGGGACACACAGTCACAGTATATTCCCACAATGCATCCTGGCTTCCTCCCCTCTGCCCTGGGAGATAATTGGGAAGTAACTCAATTATCTCCCAAGACAAAGGAAAAACTCCATTACACACATGGGGACACAAAACCAGCATTATACTTTAAAATGCACAAAGTAACATTTACTACATAAAACACAGACATGTAACATATCCCCAGATAGCTCAGGTCTGAGTGCACATTATTAGGTGAATGGCACTCAGAACACACGAATACAGTTTTAATTGCCATGGAGCCAAAGTCTTTAATTCCACGAATAGGCTCCATGGCATAGCTATCTGGGTTAAAACATTCCTCCAACATAAAATACCGAATTTACATGCATTCGTTCAATCCGTGCGAATTAGAGCCAGGGGTTGGAGGTTCAGCGGTGCCTGCACGTAAAAGTGTCCGGGTTTGGTGCATGAAAGCCGGGCAGACAAGCGCTGGCTGCCCGGGGAGCTCCAGAACACCGCCATCGTGTGGCGGCTAAGTGTAACCGCGACCACCCAGTAACAATCAATTAAGCTGCGGTTAACCGCAGCTACTGGGTGGTAAATTGCCGGCACACGCTCGTTAAGCCGCGGTTAACCGCGGCTTCAGGGAGGTAAATGGAGGGCGCACTCCAGCTTCTGGGTGGCCAATTAAGGTCGCCGGCCGGCTTCCCACGGCTCTGGGGAGGCTGAAAAGAGGCTGTTTGTTTGGTAGATGGAATCTACCGAACGGCTGTGCAGAAAGGGAGAAATAAATCCTTCTGCACAGTAAAATTAACCCTTTAGCTGCCGGTCCATAATCCAAAGGCAGCAGGCGGGCAACTAGGCTCCTCCAATGCAATGTGGCGAGATTGGTTTCGTCACATCTCTCCCCTTTTCCAAACAGACTAACAGGGTATCTGACCTCCTGCCGGTCAGTGCCCTTGTTAGTCCAGCAGCCCACCCACAAAACATAATCAACAGCACAGCCCACCCACAATAAATGGTTACTACACCTGGGTAGAAAAGAAGCTTGTCCATGTCCAGGTGCCTCACCACGGCTGTGCTGGGTACGGGTACGCTGCCTTGGTGGGTTGCTGCGTGGGCAGAGACCAGCGGCACTCTGCCCTGTTGCCAGCGCTACTGGGAGGGTAGCCTGGTGGAAGCCTGGTTGTTGGAGGGGGAGACCGACTGTCTCCCCTTTAAATACACCACTCTGCTGCTGCTGCTGGAGACTGACCGTCTCCCCTTTAGCTGCACAGTCCTGCTGCTGGAGACCGACCGTCTCCCCTTTGGTTACCCATCTCTGCTGCTGGAGGGGGAGACCGATTGTCTCCCCTTTGGCTAAACAGCCCTGTCGCTGGGGGGCAGGACCGACGGTCCCTACCCCCTGTGCTGGCAGTGTAGAGACTACGGCCCCATCTGCACGGTTGTGGGGCTTACTGTCTCCCCTTTGTACATTAAGCTGCCGCTGGGGAGAGGGGGTAACAAGCTCCTCTCCCATACATACTTCCAGCTGTGGGGGAGGGAGACCGACTGTCTCTGCTCCCAATACAGAGTCCTGCTGCTGGGGAATGGAGACTGGGCTCCCAATTCCCAAAGCATCATACTGCCGCTGGGGAATGGAGACTGGGCTCCCAATTCCCAAAGCATCATTCTGCTGCTGGGGAATGGAGACTGGGCTCCCAATTCCCAAAAAATCACGCTGCCGCTGGGGAGGGAGGACACTGCTCCCCTCTCCCTGGACTTCCCACTGCCTTCCCGGCATATCACTTGGCTGCTGGGGGGCAGGAACAACTACCTCTGCCCCCTGTATCTCAGCCTGCCACTGGGGAGGGAGGACGCTGTTCTCCTCTCCCTGCACTTTACACTGCCTTCCCGGCATATCACTCTGCTGCTGGGGGGCAGGAACAACTACCTCTGCCCCCTGTAACTCAGCCTGCCGCTGGGGAATGGAGCTCGGGCTCCCAATTCCCTGCAATTTCTCCCGCTGGGGAATGGAGCTCGGGCTCCCAATTCCCTGCAATTCATTCTGCTGCTGGGGGACAGGAGCGACTACCTCTGTCCCCTGTAACTCAGCCTGCCGCTGGGGAATGGAGCTCAGGCTCCCAATTCCCTCCTCCCGCTGGGGAATGGAGACTGGGCTCCCAATTCCCAATAAATCACACGGCCGCTGGGGAATGGAGACTGGGCTCCCAATTCCCTGCAGGACCGGTGGAGAGACCTCGGTCCCATCTCTACCGGCCACCTGGGGTTCTTCCCAGAAAATATCCACAATGTCTTCCCAGCTGAATGGGTCTGGTTCTGGCTCTGTCACCTTGCTGTCCTGCTGAATCTTCTCAATGGAGTGGAAGAGATCTCGGTAGTCCTGCTCCAGTTCCCACTCCAGGGTTGCTAGGTGAGCCAGGTCTTGCTCAATGTCGTGAGTGTCGTCCCAGTCATACCTGCTCTCCCTCCACTCCAAGAGATCACTGAACCGGGCTTGTGTAGGGCTCCCAAATTCAGGCTCTGAAAAAGCCTCCCATAACAAGCCAGGACCATCAAACTCCTCTCCCTCTGGCTTGTCATGCTCGGCTGTCCAGGGCAGGTACTGTGCCCCATACCACCAGAGCGACTGGTAGGCATCTTCCAGCCAAATCTCCTGCCATACCCGGTGCTCCAATTCCTTCACCCATTCATCTAGGGGCTGCTCTCCCAGGAAGGGCATCCGCAGGGCCACTTGCTTCTGCAACCGCTGCTCTTCACTGGGGAGACTCTCACCCCGCTGGTACTGTACATTATCCAGGGCCTGGTACCAGATGCCTTTCCTTAATGCATCCCGGCCATCCAGGTCCTCCTCCTCGTATGACACTGCTGGTTCCATGCTGTTGCTGTCAGGGTCGCTGTACTCAGACATGCGTTGCCCTCAAATTGTAAATCCAAGGAATGGTGTCGCCTGTAGCTGTCCTGTAGTCTGTCGAAAACGATCCCGCCGCTTGCCACCAATTGTAACGGACCGTTTTGCACACAAGGGGTAAAAACCGTTTAGGCGATCGGCCCCCTTTCCAGAGATACAGGCACAGCTACTGCAGAACACAAACTCCCAAACTGGATACAAAATAGCACTCCAACTCCCGAACTGGAACCTCCCAAATAGCTGCTAGCAGACGAACAGGAAAAGCAGACAAGCAGCTTACACTCCTGGCAATCAGTCTCTAACAGCATACAGTAATCCCCCCAAGAACGAGACAAGGCTCCGTGTTGAGGGTCAAGCAGTGGTCTGTTTAATGAGGGCTACCTGCCCAGCTTTTATGCAGGTCTCCCACCTGGTGGACACTCCCCTAGGGGACCAAATGGGAGACTGTGACAAGGGACAGACAAGTATACAAAAAGGACACACAGTCACAGTATATTCCCACAATGCATCCTGGCTTCCTCCCCTCTGCCCTGGGAGATAATTGGGAAGTAACTCAATTATCTCCCAAGACAAAGGCAAAACTCCATTACACACGTGGGAACACAAAACCAGCATTATACTTTAAAATGCACAAAGTAACATTTACTACATAAAACACAGACATGTAACATATCCCCAGATAGCTCAGGTCTGAGTGCACATTATTAGGTGAATGGCACTCAGACCACACGAATACAGTTTTAATTGCCATGGAGCCAAAGTCTTTAATTCCACGAATAGGCTCCATGGCATAGCTATCTGGGTTAAAACATTCCTCC